GGGGAGGGAGGGATTTCCTCTTTTCTTATTTTTCTCCTTTTGTAGAAGAAGGGACGATATGTTATTTGCAAATTACCTCCTTCACAGATATAGTAGGATTTGGGGATTTTCTTACACGCTTTTCCATGCAACTCTGAAGTTCTGAGCGTTCCTGTTGCCCCACAAAACCCGTGCAGAGCCACAAGCGACGTGAGGAATATGGGCATTTTCCCAAGGGCTGCGCTGAAGGTTTTATTGCCCTTAAGGATGGAGGTTTCTTCATTTTAACTCTTACAGTTGCAAAGTGCTGCATCCCTGAAATATCAGAGATGGAGTTTAATGGTTAGTTAGTGAAGTGCCACGTCTATAAAACCCACTGGCATTTTTTTTGTAAGACCATAGGCATGCTGAGCATAAAAAGCAGACTCACTGTAAGCAGTGCAAGAGCAGTACTTTGGGCCATTCAGAATAGATTCCACCTCCCTTGGGAATATAGGGAGCAAATAGAGGAAATCAGGTATGAATCTATTTCTATCCACTTATTAAATCCTTGTATCAGAATCTACTTCCCTACCCCCAAAGAGGCAGAAATAATAATTAAAAAAAAAAAAAAAAAAGTCTTAGGAAAATTGCTTTAATGACTGCCTTAAAAAAACCCACAAAACAAACGAAAGCCCACGCCTAAATAAAGTTAAGAAAAAATAGCCATGTGGTTTAAATGCTCCATATTGACAGCCCTAGGAGCAGAGGAGTGGGTTGATTAGAATATGGCTTTTAATGGATGCACAGTCATTTAAAACAAAGTTGACATTATTGAAATAACACTTTTTGCAGAAGGAGCTGCCTACCAAATGACCTTGAAAAGACATAGCAATTACTACCACACATGCAAGATACATTATCGCCAAAGCTAAGGCTTGATTTACTAAGATATGCCCGCCAGACTGGAACATTAGGAACTGGGATGAGTTCTAAGATAAGATATTAGAGTCAATAAGATAAATGTGTAAATAAAAAGCTCCATTTGTCGGGGCAAAAGCCGTTATTTTGATTGTGAGAAATTCAATTTTGCATTTAAGAAAAATACACGCCACAGCCTCTCCCAAATGTTGAAGACAGTTTCAAACTGAGCCTTGGAACTCCAGTGCGAAGAGCACCTACTGCATTAGAAACTCATCGTTAATTAGTGTTTAAAATAGCCTGTTGGCATTTGCTTAGCCTGCGAGATCCTCAGGGTGGCACAATCTAATAGCTGTGCTCATACAGCATCTACCATGATAAGGACCCTGTAAAAATAGAAGCCCAAGTAACTAGAGTCATTACACACACACACATACATATATGCAGTTTATGCAGATATTATTGCCAAGAAATTATTCTCCCATAAAGACAAGGACTGGATCATGCTGCCCCTAAATGAGAATTTTACTCTAATCACATAAAAAGAACAACTTCATAAACACAGGAAGAAAGAGAGAAATGATGCTTCCTGTGAGAAGGAAGTCCATTTAAAGCATGAATAAACTGATGCGGTCAGGAGAAAGAAGCTTGTATATGCAAATAGAGGTTTATTACCCATTTTTGTGCTCCTAAGAAACATAATTTACTGACCTTTGAGAGAAGGGTCAAGTAGGCTTAAGGAATAAGAAACAAAGGCATCTCTTTTGGCAACTGCCGTGTTCCAGGGCAGTAATTATCCTTCCCTTTCCCTGTGAGCAGCAGGAAATGAAGAGGGGTGCGATTACACTATGACAATTACTGTAATTTTAATTTCTAAAAATTGCCAGGAAAGTTTCCTCTTAAAAAAAACATCTGTTCAGATTTTTTGGTGTCATTTTAGTTTAAAACTCATTCCTCAGCTAAAACAGAGCTGTGCTTCCCCCTCTCCCACTCCTTTTGGGGAACTGCCCACAAAGTCTACATGGTGAGAAAGTCCACTTTCCTCCTCATTAGTTGAGAAGATAATGGGTAAGTGTGGTCAGTGAGGATCTGGGAAAGATGGAGGTGGCCCGAAGATATGTCACAGGGGCAGCAAGGATGCACAGCCTGGCTATCCCTGCTAGGCACTGCCATGGATGGATCCTTAGGAGTGCTCACCTTTTCAGCCTAGTCTGCTGTTGGGTTCAATATCACTCAAACTTATTCAGTCATGGGCACAATATCATATTCTTCTTTCCATGGGTAGAATGATGGAGTAGATTATGTTAGAATGAAGCAGATGATGTTAGATGTGCAATAATTAAAAAGAATTTCAAAGAAGGATTCTTTTCATCACCTATGCTTAGAGGGATTACTGGCTATTTTGTGGATTTTCTGAAGGCTATCATTTATTATTTTAATACTATAGATAATATATTCTGTGCTATTAGAACATTATCACATTTTATTATACCCAACTGTTGCACTGTGGGGTGGACTTAGCCCAAGAGGACAGGTCTACTCAGCTATCCGATTTCTCCTACCACTGACCACACCATCCCAGGCTCTCATCACTGTTATGGGGGACACCTGAAATACTCCCTCTCCTGCAGCGGACTCTCTGCCTGGAAGGAGGAATAGCTGCTTTGCACCGAGGTGTGTCTGCACAGGGGGAGAAGGTGGGATGGATTTGAGGCACACCTGCCCCATAGGTAGGCAGGAACCAGAGGTGACAATATCATCGAGTACATTACTGTCTCTGCTGTGTGCTGCAATGGCATTTCTCATAAATGGAAAGCGGCTTTCCAGGATTCCCTCGTGCACTCCCGTAATGAGACTTCTGAGGTCTTGTTTTGGCCACTGGGTGAATATTTAAAATTGCTTTCACAGACCCAAGGGAAAGGGCTTTTTTCAAGTAGCTGCCACAACTCACATTCAACAATGATCATTTAGCATAGTAAAAAACTGTGCCTTTAAATATATGCAGTAACACACCTATAGAACTACACCAATTTACCTACACACAAATACATTCCTACAAACACATATTTGATTAAGGACTTATATAACTTCAGGCTTCAAGGAATTTTGGATCAATGCCTTTGTTTTGCTTTTATAAATAAATAAGCAAACTCAATTAAACAGTACTTACAGCAAACCACAATGGGCAAGAGAATAATTTTCCCGAAGCTTCACTTTCCAATTTTTACCTGTTATGTGGGTCTAGGGAATCAATTACTCCCTAAAGGGGACTTATCAGAGTTTGTGTTACCAAACATCTTACCTTTCCCACCCACCAATGGAATAGAAGAATTATAGGGACACACATATAGAAAAACTATCATTCTTCAAACCTCTTACAATTTGCTGTAATAAATTAAAGAATAAATAAAATAAAACAAAGGCCTGCAGGCAAGCAGGATTTGAATCAAGACTGGATCAGCACCAAGTCAAGAAGCTCACCATACAGTCTCACAAGACCTGTAAATCAGGTTCCCTGAACATATGTAGTATTTTGCATTACTCTATAGGGTGTTAACTTTAATGCCTTAATATATGCACATAGTGGTCAGGTTATGGTTGCTGTGGGAACTATAATTTTACATGTCCTGACCAATCTGCAGCTGGAAAAATAATAATAAGTAAAAAACAACCACACCACTGCATTCCCTTCAGCAGGTTTTACACATTTAATTTCTCTTTTTATATTTGAAGGAGGAAGAAGATGTGTGAAGCTGAAAACGTATAGGAAAGCTGAAACGATGTGAATTAACTTTCATCCTTTTCAAGCAGTTTTCATGAAACCTCATGTGTCCACAGCCCAAGCAAGTGTCACTGCATGAAAATGATGTGGTTTTGTGTGATCAAGCCTATTTCTGAGTCAGAAGCATCTCACCAAGGACTCACCACAACCCTCTTCTTTTTCATAATACACCAAAGCCAACCACCAGCATTCACTTGCAAGTGACAGCTACAAGGAGGAACAATCTGCAGCTGATCCAGTTTAACACAATTTCAGCTGATTCTGCCTGACACGCACCAAATTGTTACTGCTACAGTCTCCTAAAGGGCAGGTTTCTTACCTATTTTAAGGCAAAAGAGTTTGTTTGTCTCTGTCCCATTCTTCTTCCAGCCTCCCTCTACCTCCAACCCCACCATCACTTGCCTCTAAGATTTGAGTACTTTTATCTGACATCTTGTTTTTTTCCCTTATTAAAACTCTGCTCCCTTCCAGAGAAGGTTGTTTTTGGAGTCATCAACCATTTTTGATATACCAAAAAAGTTGATTGCATCCAGGCTTACTCCAGGTGCAGGGGTGCACAACAGCTATGCTGTAATTAGCCCTCTTCATCCTGTTAGCACTGGTTAATGGCCAGCAGTGTCCCACATCATATGGAACAGCCATGGCCATGCAACCATGTGTTAGTTCAGGCAAGACCAGAGCTGTTCCCACCTCTGCAATCCACTCTACCAACAGTAATCTAACGACGTTGGTTAAAAGCACAAGAAGTAATATAATATAGACAGCATAAAAACAAATCACAACTCATTTGCACAAAATAAACTCCCTTATCTCTGAGCTCAATCATCAAAACCAATAAATGTTTGATGTTCGGGTGGATTTGACCACCATTCAGAATATGCTATTTGTGACCATGCACAATACTCATGTTCAAAACAGATTGCCAGTTGGTGGGAAAAAATAAGCTATAACATTTCTATAAAGGCATAGCTGAAAAGTATCACCTGTGTTCAATCACTCCAAAGGGGGCGGTGGGAACTCTCGATAAAGGTAAGGGAATACATTAGCCCTCTGGCACACAAAGGCCTTAGTTTCTTGCTTGAAACCTATCTAATATTAAAGCTCTGGTCCATTGACTTGCCTTAATGGTAGGGTCTTTGGTCGCATCATTTCACCCTTCTTTACAGAGAAGCATTAATGCTACAAAGAACAACTCTTTCTTACATACACATTAAGGAGTATATAGCAAAACCAGGTGGCACAACAAGGTAGGGAATGAAGATTCATTAGGAAAGCAGAAAATCTGCTGACTGCCCCTTAAAAGAAATGTCAAGATTATCAAGAATATCAGAAACAGTCACTGAAATTAGGCATAGAGTTCTGCTTTTTGGTAGCATGGTATCAGCTGCAAATACCTAAAACTTTTTAATGTGTAGAACTTGAAAAGCCAACCTTATCTCTGCTGGACTCATACTACAGTGAACTGGTCGCCTGGCATCGAACCTCTCATTGAAATCTGTGGAGATTTCTTATACACACACACATGTATCACATACACAGTATTTTGCATTACTGTTTGTGAAATACTATGCACAAACGCATATATACATATACATATATATACACACACAGACTTATCTTTACACTCTTAATCATGTTACATATGTGCACGGGCACACATACATTTAATTATATTTTATGTACACACACAGATGCACGTACATACGAAACTAAACATATGCACAAAACTATAATGTATATACTCTGATTACATATAGTATTTATTCATTGTCAAAGTTCCTAATATGGGTAAAAAGAGAAAAAAAAAAAGTCTGTATTTGCGTATGTGCATAATAGATAACCCCAATGTAATGTAGCCAAAGAACACAGAATATATGATACCTCTTAAAACTGAGGACAGAGATTTGATAAAAAAGCCCTCTTACTTCCTTCTACGACATTGCCCTTGGAGTGTGATTTCACTTAGCCTAAGAGCCCAGCTCCCAGGGAAGGGGGTAGAGGACTGCTCTTTGGTATAGTTCAGAGGAGGCAGAACTCCCATCAGGAATGGAAAAACAGCCCAATGAGAACAGAAAAACAGAGAATAATTAAACAGGGCTTAAATATGTCCTTTTTCCTGGGTCCTGTATCTTCCACCTCCATAGATGTTGTACATGTCTATTTGAAAACCACCTCACTGGCTTCAGTGCAGGTAGTGGAGGAGCACCGTGCTCTTCAGCATCATTAGTGGAGTTAGAAAACAGCCCTTTTTTAGCAATGAACTTACCTTAAAACACAGAGCCACATGAACTTACCTGTTTGGTACTTCTCTGCCCAGTAGGAAGCAAAGCTTTGGATTTCTCTGCTATTTTCTGTAAAAAAATGGGGAAAAAAGGGAAAATGGCTGAGAAAACAGAGTCCAAATATTTAGGGAAGGAATTATATTAAGCTTTTTCTTCTGCTTTTTAGAGAAAAGGACATAGAAAAAAAGTCTTATTGTTTAGATAAAGAAAGGGAGTATAACCACATTGAAAATTTTGTCCTGCAGGAATTAGAAGTCTTCAAAGCTTCCAGAATGACAAGGTTATCAAAACTGAAACACGCATTTAAGAAATGACAGCTAGGATGTGGATAAGTAGCAATTTACCGCTCAGATTGGTTTCCTGACGCAACCGGGCATTCACAAACTGCAGTGGCTAATTTTGGCACTTCTGAATTGATGACAGGTTTTTTTAAAAAAAAGAACCAACCCTACATGTACAGTTCAGATGGATTTTACTCATGAACATTTAAAAAAAGCGTATAAAAGGTGTGTGCTTATGGGAGTGGAGCCTGAATCCTTCCAACTTCTCATTTAATGGGATAAAGTTATTTCATTTAAAGACACGGCACTTAGGACAGGGGAATAATTAAAAATATGAGCTAGCGCTAGAGATAATGCAATGCTATTACATAATATACATGCAATCGAGTGCAATTTTTATGTACTTTTGTTTATTTATTTATTTCTTAAACCACAGGCAGCAAGTGTGGCAAAATCAATCAGTCCAGAATGTTTCTAATAGAGATACATGATTAAGTGCATGTTGCCAGCCAAATTTCATTAGACCTGTATAATTACAACATATTCTTCCTATGTCTTGCAGACATGAGTCAAACTTTCACAAGAAAGCAACCAGAATTTGTCCAGGTTGTATTTGCATAGCATTCAATTAATCCAGATATACGTTCAAACTTGTTACTGCAGGGGAGAGAAGCAGTTCGAGGATGGTCAATTTAAATCATTACTACGGTGTTTAAAAGCAAAGCAGATCTGCTCACCAGTAGAGCCTCCCCAGGGTTAAGTGGGAGAGCAAGAAGCAAATGAAAGAGCTGGAGTTCAGGTTTTGTTTGCTTTATTAAACAGCTTGATCTTGGTGACAGGTCCAAACCACAAGATGTGTTCGGAAACCTTCTGGCAAAGACATATAACACAGCAGAGCCATCAGGTGGGTTAACATTTAAATTAGCAATGTAGCCTGCACATTTTCTCTAAGCTGAAAAGGTGAGGGGTGCACTGTGCAATCACTTTTCCTTCTCCCCTTGAAAGTGGAGACATGCCAAAATAATGTCATGGCTAAGCCAGGGGAACCATTGAAGGTCCTACCAGACACACAACTGGCAAAATCACATTGTTTTTTTCATTTCCACTACTGCTGAATTGTTCTGCAGTCGCATGCATGTGCATAATCCAAAGTAATTATACACTGCTTGACTGGCAAAGTAAGTAAAGAGGGAGGAAACTACATGTGAGTAGCTCTGTGGAGATGCTCTGTGCTCCTGGGAGTCATGCTAGAATGTGACATGTTCTCAAAGTCACATATGGAAGAGTGGAAGCAAGAGAGATCCTCACCTTCTGCACAGCTCCGTATCTCTGGATGGCATCAGACAGCTGGTTCTTCAGTCTGTCCAGCTGAAGTCGCTCTTGCTGTTTTGGAAAAACAGAGGCCTGGTTAGGAGATCTGTAGAGATAAATCAATCAGTAGACTCTGTCTGTGACCACGGGAAGCAGTCCTGGTGGGAGACACCACGTAAACAGAAGTGGGCACAAATAGTGTTCTAAAAATTCAATTTCACTCGGGCTGCCAGGACGCTACGAGGTTTTATTTTAGGAAGGAAGCACAACATGCTTTGATCTTTCAGGCCAAAGCAATTAAAAAAATATCACCTTGGACATTCAAGATAGCACTCCAGTCATGACTACTGTGTTCTGCTATCTGAGCTGGACACCATCTGTGGCAGTGATGTATAGTGGGACATTTTGCTGTCCTGTTTACTGTATGAAGGGGGTGTCACTCAAATACCAGTTCTTAAAGACTGTGAAATGCAAGCAAATAAATACCTTACTGCCATCAACAGAACAGAATGGTTGTAGCACGGTATCGTGCTTCTACTTACTAAAATCCAGCCTTGGATTATCTGCTGGAGATGATAACCCAAGGGATCCTCCTCTAAAAAGTCCTTGATTTGGATGGTACCCCATGACGACGTTTGTCACCTCATTTGATGGCAATTGGTGATTTACTGGACTTGACAGGTCCATCAGCCACAACAAATTTCCTTCTTTCTGGCCTAGGGCCTGCTTGTCAGAAACCAACTTATCTCCATGTTTTCCAAAACATGTACCCAAATGTCACAGCCTTTCTGTCTGGAGCTTGCCCCAGCAAGATACCGATCTATGTTTTAAACAAAAGTGTTCTCAGAAGGAAGATCCCAATCTAGCCTGACACAACTATCCAGCATTCTCCAAAATCACTGCTCTCAGATGGAATGACCAAACCCAAACAATGTCAGGCAATGGAAATACTCCTGGAACTCCTCCTCACTTGTCCAGGATTTACACAGGGGAATGAACAGCAAGGAAGAGGAGCATCACCTTAAAACCCAAGTAGCAAATAAACCCCAATCTACACTAAAGCTACTAAGCAGAAATGTTCACTTTACAGCATTTTCAGCTGTTTCAGACAACTGCTTAAGAATACAAAACTAAATTTTATGAAGGATGGGATAAACATCTTTAATTTTTAATGGTAGCATTTTCATACACAGAAGAATATCCCAGTCTTACAGTTCTTCATCCAAAGATTTAAAACCGCTTTTAGAACAGGGTAAGTATCATTATTTCCATTCTACAGATAAAGGTCTATAAACCTTATGTTTGTTACACATGCAAAATAAGATAAGATTGCTACCCTGGAGAGCTGATCTAATGGTCCAGTACTCATCCTACAACACACCGAAATTCCAGATAGGCCTCTCTATTGAAGTCCTTTGAAGTTAGTTTGAAGAGAAGCCCTAAAATAGCCGCGTGCTATTTTACATCAGTCTCCCACCTTGTATCACACTGATCCACTTACATCAGTATCTTTGCTTCTGAAATACTATCAATTTGCTCAGTTGGGCATCCTGACTCCAATAGCTCCAGCAGCACTTGGAGCTTCAAGGGAAGTCAGAGAAACTCCCACAGTGCTCCTTGTTGGCAGTGCATTACTGGTGGAAAAGAAGGAAAAAAAAAATAAATATGTCCGTGTGTGCATGCAAAGCAATACACAGAATAATGGATTGGAAAAGACTGACTATAAAGCTCTAAATTAATGGAAGGCTTTTCATGCTGTGAGAAATTTTATGGCAGGAAAGTTTCCAAAGCTACCCAGATCCCCAAGAGGGACTTACTGACGAGCAGCCAATACCCACCAGAACTATTTGTTCTATATAAGGGACGAGGGCTACAGGCTTTATATCAAAATTTGTAGGTTTAATTACTTAAACTGCACACTGTTAGAAAAGAGGAGTTAAAAAAATAAAATCTGTTAAATTAATTGACCAGGGAGCAGAAAAAGTTATTATGTGATGCCAAGAGAGAGCAGCAAGTTTATTCCTCATATTACTATAATTGTTTGTGTGTCTATTTCCTTCAGCTCTTAAATATTCTTCCTTTAACTTAGCATTTTTTCTCCCCATGAGAGTAAAAGCTATTCTCCTGAGAGTCCCCCGTGGACACTACATGGGCTTCAGGGGCAAATAATGACATTCTTGTGCGGCACTATAGTTGGGTTTAACGTGACCTTGCCTGATTCCCCTTTGAACCCAATTTAAGTCACAAAACAGCACCAGGAGATCAGCACAAAAAAGCCCAGATCCCCATATCTCCAACAAAGCATCTTTTGTTTCATCAAGCTCGTTGTAATTTTTCTCAGACTATGCAAGAAAAATGAAAAACTAGTCCTTGTAGTCCATCACTGATCAAAGCAACATATTAAAAAAGATCAAAATATTAAGGTTGATGCCTGCATATCATCAATGTCTACATGTGGCGAACAGTCATTCCCAGCTTCCCTCTCCATCCTCTCGAGTAGACCATCACCCATTCGTTTTTTTAGGTGGGCTGAATTACACATGGTCCTCCACAGGTTACAGAGGTAGCCTGGGGTGATTCAGCTCTCAAAACCTTATCTCATACGCCTGTTGGCTAGTGACATAAATCCAGGATGTAAAAACCACTTGGACAGAGATCAGTCATGTGTTTAGAGCAGTGTTTTTTCTAGGTGGAAGGACAGTGAGAACAGAGTTGAAGCAATACAGGACTTTGGAAAATGGCAGGATATGAGTGAGGATAAAATACCAATTCAGGTAATTTCATCCAGAAACTATATGGATGTTGGAAGCAAGAACATAACAGAAAACCTCTAGGCAGAATCAAGTAGAAAAGAATTGTCCTGATTCTCATTTCAGTTGCTGAATCACCTGTTCTGTGGGTGAAATTTCTTCTCAACTTTTACACCAGCTGGAGTATATTTCACATATACTATATGTGGCATATTTCACATATACTATATAAACACATATGTATATGCCACAGTATATTTCTGTTCTTCCCCATGATGCATACCACAGGCCAAAATCAG